TTCAATATTAAGGCAATTCTACATGAGGGCACCATCTATCTTATTTTCAAGAGTTTTGATGTCAGGGTCCATGTGATGGAGCTGTATATAAGGACAGACTCAACCGTGGCTCTGAAGAAATTTCTTTTCAGTGTGTCGAGAAGGTCGGATTTCCATATTTTGTCCATTTCATTTAGTGCTCCCCATGCTTTTCCCAATCTGATGTTGACGTCGTGTTCGGTTGAAGCAATGTAGCTGCCCAGGTATTTGAAATCGTCCACTTCACCGTGTCGCCGCTTATGCTTCTCATGCCTTCGTGTGCATCTTGGTTGAGGCATAAGAACTCTGTTTTCTCTGCATTGACAAATAGCCCAATGGCTTTAGGTTCAGTCCTTTTCGATGCTATGAAGTAGAGATGTTGCGTCTTTCAGGTAGTCAGCCAACAACAGCTATGTCATCGGCATAATCAGCGTCAGTGAACTTCTGAGCTGGGTGTCGTCTGCTCCTTCGTTCTGTAAGGGTGAATCCCAGCTCGGAGTTCTCGTCCAGAGCTTTTCTTAATACGTAGTCGAGCCAGATAATAAACAAATATGGAGCCAAGGTGTCTCCTTGGAGAACACCAGCAGTGATGTCGAAGAAGTCTGTATCGCCGTCAGGTGAGCGTACCATCGACCGGGCGTTTCTACTGTTTCCTTTGGAATCCTGCATGCGCTAACAGAATCTCCTTCATTTTCCCACGATGGATGGAATCGAACGCCTTGGAGAAATCGACAAACAGGAGGGTTGCTKGTAAGTTCTTTTCATTTATCCCTTCTAAGATACGTCGGATGGTAAGTATCTGCCCTGAGGTTGATCTGTTTGTTCTAAAGCCATTTTGATTATTTCTCAGCAGGTTAATACATAATCAGTGTGAAAACCAAGATATTCGTACATGGGGAACTTGCTATGCCGCAGAACAATAGAGAGTTCCCTAGTTCTTAAGCGCATTGTTACTTAAATCGATCATTAGCAATATATTCCATTGTAATATATCATTTTGTTGTAAATTTTACAATAGATAAGGTGACGGTTTTGGTACTTGTACCGGTAGCCGTAGTGTCGCAAAATAATAAGGAATGACCGGGAAATCGATGTCAAATAATTCTCGCTAAATTCAAATTCGGAAAGAATTCATATCAAACAATTGCCTCGGAGAAACATTCATTCGTTTGCCAAACTTTTGCTGACTATACATGGTAATCTTACCTTATAAGGAAGTACGATAGAAAATTTTTTTCAAGTTTTTTCCACCTTTTAGTGCTTTACAATGGCTAAAACTTACAGAATTTGCAGAGAAATCGCTTTTCAACATGTTGGCCATTATAATTTTGTCCTAGTCCCCTCCCATCCTTGAAAATAAGGAATCCCACAAAAGACACAGGTAGCCCGTGCGAATGTTAGCAATTGTTTGATATGTATTAATTGCAAACGTTAGATACTACAAAAAGGAGTTACCTGACCAAACTTGAAGGATGTACTTCATATAGGGAGCGAGAAAATGTATGTTTAGTTCTCAATACATTTCTTTGTATCGATTTCCCGGTCATTCCTTGTTATTTTGCGACACTATGCCTACCGGACAAGATGGCTGCCAAAGCCGTCACCTCATCTATTTAGAAAATCCAATTTTGCGTCTGAAAAATCAGTTAAGAGAAGCAATGTTTTCTGGCACAATGTAGGTATCAGTTTTTATATTTCAAAATTTTCTACGGGAAATTCATGGCGCAGGTTATGCAAATGATTCTATTGTTGTCTAAATGTATCCACTGAGCTTGACGGGTTTTCAGGGATTGACTATATAAGCAACAACGGAACAAATTTAACCACAAAAATTTCAACAAAATGCTTTCCTTTGAATATCAGTTTGGAAAACCATCAAACATGAATAGTCTAGTTGCAAAGGACACCAATGATCACAGGCAAAACAATTTTGAACTCACCCTACTGTGTTTGTGCTGAATTATTAATTTTTTTGTGTGATTTTAAAGAAATGATTTTGGAAATCACGAAACACTATTAAAGCTATCGGGAAAGAAAACTTTGTGTTTTACTCCTGTGATTATGTCACCGTTCGAAGGCCGTGAATTTGTTGTCAAATAATAATAATATTATCGTCAAACCTTCCAATACAAATTGATAGATATAGGATACAAACAGTAATAGGAATTATATTAATATACTCTATCATATTTTTTGGATTATTTTAATAAAAAAGATAATAAAAGTTAATTAAAGATAATAAAAGTTTCTACTGGTTATGACCAGGACGATTTACGTGAGTCTMAAATCATCATTTACTAATTTTATTTTAACTCATAAAGAAAACTGCATTTTCAGCGGGAAAATAAATAGCATACTTTGTTTCCGCGGAAGTTCAGAAATGAAAATGATATATCTATGCTGCGATTTAGTAAATTCTATTCATTGTTTAAGTTAGGTCAGTTGGAATTTAGTTCAAGAGTTTTTTTTTCAAATTCGTCACTCTCGTGAGTTTCTCTGATGAAGAAACACCTATAATTTCCAAGTAATTGATATTTAATTGCAGCTTAATGATGATAAATTGCTATTGATCCATTAAACTTCTCACCTGCAACTGAATGGAACAAGACGCTACCAAGGACAAAAACCACGAGAATCATTTCTTTGATATGTGAAAATAACAAAGAAAGTGAAAAGACTACCAAACAACAATTGTATRTTGGTAAGCTGTCAGACTACGTGTCTTACGTTGATGGTGCCACACGTGGCCAAAGTAAGGCTCCAGCGAAGGATATGAATCATTGATGATAAGATCATTRTTYATTGCYGTRCATACACATTTATTTCAAGACTGTGAACTTATTTTGCTGTTATAACTCCTTTGAAATATGTTGTCGGTAAAAAACAGCGATTGACAAGGGTTGCAAGACCGAAGGCATCTCTACAACCAATGAACTTATGTCCCATGAAAGCAGTAGGTACTACTTAACAGTATTCGCCGAAGACGAAGTTATGCCGTCCCCTAACATAAATTAAACTGGATCTCAGACWCTTTGTAGTGAGAAAACGGTTTAACTGGTTGGTAATATGGCTTACGAGGGAAAGATTACCACACCAGAAAATCAAGAGACTGTGTTAACATCGCATTTTGCGGTCAGTTGTATTTCTGTTGTTGGAGAATTTGACTTAACCGCATTGGAATAGATGATCATGAATAAAAGAAATTGATAACATTGATCAAAACACTTTCTTTATTCACATACAGCTAGCCTATTAAAAAAACCGTTATCCAGGAAACCAGGGAACGGCAAATGAAAATTGTCTTTACATGCAAATTTCACTTGTTGGGTTCAGGAGACTAAAGGAAGCCAATGTTTATTACAGACTATCGTCAAGTGTACATCAGTTATTTTTCATCAATTAGCAAAATCCATCATGGCTCCTTTCAGTCCTTTCGGCTGTGAATCTCCGGTCGACAATTTTCATTCCGTCATTGTTTCAGACAACCGTTTTTAAAATAGTTAATTAATATCACAGTTCTAACTTGTCTTAGAGACCTGTGAGACGCCATTGCTTTGAGCTGTACTAGCCATCCAACATTCATCATGGATATGAACTGATATGGTCTGGAGGTTCAGTATATTTAAGGATGAACATAAATAATATGATAGATTAAAAAAGATTTCCAAAAAAAAGACGAGCTACATAGCTATGTAAAAAGATCAATTTAACACTGTAAAAAGTAGGATGTTTATCGCTAGGCTCCCATCAAGTTACATCGCTATTTTTCTGGACTGTATCGACTCAGACTCTTTTATTCTCAGCCCATCTAATAATTATTTTGAAGTCGAATTTCAAAAGGTTCAAACACTAGGACGAGGGTTTGCATTAAAGGGATGAATCTCGGAAAGRTCGACAAATTTAATTTCATATTGAAATTCAGTTATTGAATGGATCTCCATAACGCGTTAAGAAAGACCCATCATTATTCTTGGAAAGAATGTCCTACTATAACACAACAAGAAGTACATAACCACAAGTGTCCATCTCCCCAATAATATCCACACCATCAGATGTCCCGATAATCTATTTTTAGACAACCAATCACAACGCGCACACATATCACACGGCACCTGATTGGTCCTTGTTGATCTACTTCAAGAGCGGACAAGAAAAAATAATCTACTCTCATAATAGTTCTTCATCTAAACAAAATGTGACAGATCACAATTAATGTAAAAATTAGCATTTATAAATTTTTTTATGACAATTTGTACAATTTTGCATCTAAACAAAAGATCTTCACTTGAAGATGTCAAATGAAGTTACCTTAACGGAATTTCGCGCCTTTTTTCTTGAACAGCCGATGAATCAACCCAAAAAGAGTTCCATTCAATATCTGTTGGCATGTAAATCACCCTAATCTAAGCTACTTGCTTCAGTTTACTCAAGTTTGCTCAAGCTGAAAATTTTCCGCTTTTGTACAACTTGAACCTTCGTTCCTCGTCTTCAACAGCCATTTGATTTCAAATTCTGGTTATCAGTTAAAGATGAATGTGTTTTGAGTCGATTTTGTTTTGCTTTTGCTGTCCAATGAATTTTGTTGGTCTTCGGCAGCTCAATGAAAAGTTCATAATCCGCTCGTGTTGGTGTTGTTTTTTTTTCTCCAGATTTTCGCCTGTATTCCCAAGATTAATTACTCCTGTTTCCTATCACTGGCTTCCTCATCGGCTTAACATGAAGCGAAAGCTGATTCTGCTTTCCTTTTTTGCGACATATTTCTACTAAAAGTTAACTTTAAAAATCCTGAAAACGAATTTTGAATAGTCTAGTTCTAATATCTTCCTCCTCGAAACTGCCGGCGGTCGACCGGCGGCCGGGCCGTCAGTCATTCAGAAACCTATTGTTCAAGACACTTTCTGATTGGCTGTTTTGCGCTGAATTTATAATGAGCAATTCCAAAAAATAGCAGCAAGAGGGGTAAATGCCGTTCCAAGAGCTTATGAAGACGAGGAAGGCTCCTAGTAATGGGCCCTGCCAAAAGTTGCTTTATTCGGTGTTGTACGATCCTATAGTTGCTTACATTGTATAACGACTGACAAGTTTCGCCAATGTCACGTTAAGAGTTACTTGTGTTACATGTTAATCAACATTGAGGCTATACGTATGGCCAATAGTTGTCACGGTGCGTTAGTAAATGGGTTGCATTACATGTTTAACTGAGTGATGGTAACAGCTGCAACTTTATTTTGTGCAAACTGCGCATGTCAGTTCTCTACCGTTAGAATAAGGACAGGGAGAACCGATACAAGGAAACATTGCCTGGACAAAGTATAGAAGGGCACCGTTGTCGTTTCTAAATCTTTCCAGGAACGAACTCAGGGTCTTTGTCCACACAAACAAAGCTACTTGACCGTTGATGATTATGATGCTCTGACATGATGTAACCAAAGTACTCTCGTGTCCAGCCCAAAGGGCACTTGTAGGATGCAGGGACCATGACCTTGGCCGTGCGGTTCGGGACGTAGCAGGCAGCGCAAGGTGCATCTTGGTTTTGTAAGTTTTTACCAAACAGTGTTTTACCTAATTTTTGAGTTTCGTACTCCGTG